CTCTAGCTGCCTCTTCACCTGACTTCTAGATACAGAAAAGTGGGAGGGAAAGGGAGCAGCAGCATCTCCTGATTTAGCTGAAGACAAATTTGAGGATGTAGAAGAAAAGTCCATGACTGCGGTTGAAGATTGACACGAAAGCTGTGGGTCAAAGGAGGGTGAGATGTCTGTTTGGCTGGGGGCAGGAGAGGAGGAAGATGAGCTTGTTCCTGAGCTGAACCTGTTGAAGAATGTGTTCAGCTCATTTGCTCTGTCCAGACTTCCATCCATCCGATTCTCCTTTTGCTTGAAACCTGTGATCTTCTTCATCCTTGACCACACATCTCTGATATTGTTCCTTTTCAGTTACTCTCCAGCTTCCTTCTATAAACCTCCTTGCTGTCTCTGATCTTGACTTTGAGCTGCTTCTGTATACTCATCAATAACTCCCTGTTATCAGTCACTTGGACAAYTCACCTACACTGCCATCACTAATATGCACCTTCATATACATTCATTTTTGTACTGTTCAATACGGTATATATAAATGTATATGCATATGTGTTTATGTAAATGTGTATATGTGCATTGGTATATACATCACATGTGTTTATTGTGGGGATGTTTTTGTTTATCTTTTATTTATCTTTCATTATTCTTTTCAGCCTCTCCTGTATTAAGCTGCAGTAATGTGCAAATTTCCCCACTGTGGGATCAATAAAGTTTTATCTTATCTTATCTTAATCATTAGTCGATCGATAAGATCAATCAACTTTAGATTAACCCATTAATCGATAACTTGCATCCCTAATAGCATTTGTTTTGTTTTTAAATGAAATGAGTAAATAAACAAAAAAATCTATGCTGCAATGGGGGTGGGGGGTGCGATTGCCCGCTGAAACAAAAAGTCTCAATGTCCCGTAATAAGCTGCGGCCGCAGCTGTCGCGGCGGCAACCCTCGAACCCGTTGGTGGACACCTTCGGTGAGGGATGCTGTCAAGCTGAAGAAGGAGTCCTATCGGGCCTTTCTGGCCTACGGGACTCCAGAAGCAGCTGATGGGTACCGGCGGGCGAAGCGGCATGCGGCTCGGATGGTCGCTGAGGCAAAAACCCGGGCGTGGGAGGAGTTTGGTGAGCCAGTGGAGAAAGACTTCCATAGGGCTTCGAGGCGATTCTGGTCCACCATCCGGCATCTCAGGAGGGGGAAGCAGTGCAGCACCAACACTGTTTATAGTGGTGTAGGAATTACTTAATGAAATCAGGGCCAGCCTATTTTCATAAATGTAATCCAGGATCTTGCAAGAAATGAAATCAGAATCAATGAAACACTCCTCTGATCATGAATGTGAAAAGAACTTGTGGTCTTGTCAGATTTCTCAAAATAAAGTAATTTATTTTAGATATATGANGATTAATTTCATTCAAAACTACAGTAAATTTCCAGTGCCTATAAAAATGATTCACAGACACTCAATGTGTTATGCTTTTATTGCTGTTATAAATCAATCATGGTCAATATAAATTGTCCTACTTTACAAAAAAAATTAAAATTAAAAACATTAAAAGCCCTAGTGTCAAAGTAAAATCAAAATTTTCAAAGTATTGCCAGTGAATTAAAAAATGCAATGTAAAATATGTGACTGCATAAGTWTTCACGCCCTTTAAAGTAACTGTCCTAATTCATCTCAGAGAAAAAAAAATTAAAGTACAAATCATAGATACACCACATACAGTAGATAGATGCAGAATGATTTCCAAGGCCCTAAACATCCCCAGGAGTTCTGTTAAACACATTAAGAAAGGTAAAAAAAAAATGAGACGTGTAAATCTACCAAGTGAAGGTCGTCTTCACAAACTGAGAGCAGGGAGAATAATGAGAAACCACCAAGACACCTGAGACCTGAGTTCTTTGTTGTTTTAATATAATTAATATTAGAACAAAATCGATAACACTTTATACTAACTACACCTTATTTAGCCTTTTATCACTAATAAATCAGTTAATGGCCCTACTCACCATCATGGGCAGACATTGGGTTTGGTCATTTCTCGTGGACTTTCTCTGGGACTCTATTGCACCTTTTACATGTAGGTCCACTAAAACTAAAGCTGATCCCTGGCTCAGTGACTCCACCCTCAGGCAGCGCTGGAGACGGGCTGAGCACAGCTCAAGATAGGCTTCGTGTGTCTCTTGAAATGTGAGGCATCTTTTAACTGAATATCAAATTGCTGTGAAAAGGGTGAAATCACATTATCTGTCAAATATCCTAGCATGTTGTTTCACACAGTTCTGTTTTAAACCCTCCCACTGTGATGTTTGATGTTTCTAACACTACCTGTCAGAGATTTTTTCAGGTTTTTATTTAAAGTGACTTCAGTCAAACAGAACATGGTGATTGTAGCATGGTTTCTGACAGTCCTTGCACCATCTGCTGTCCTTGAAAGTTTTGAACAAGTTTTTCTGTCCCTCCTCACTGAGGTAGTGCTTGGCATTAAATCTAGTTTCTGTGTACTGGACCTTACTCCTGCTAAGGTCTTCAAACCGGTTTTTAATATTGTTGGACCATTCTTTCTTTCTTTTATCAACAGTTGTCTCAGTTCTGGGATAGTTTCAGTTCTTTTAAACTTTTAATGTTGGTTTTTAAAGCTGTTCATGGTATTGCTCCTTATTTGTGTGACATTTTACAAGTACATCATCCAGTTAGAGCTCTTCCGTCTGCTGACTAACAGATCAAAGTCCAAACAGACTGTTCATTTGCTGTAGCTGGTCCAAAATTATGGAATTCATTACCATTTATCACTTGACCATGATCAATGACCTTTTTTAGTTCAAAGCTAAGCTGAAGACACATTTGTTTAGAATTGCTTTTAGCACCTGTAGTACACTGTTATTGTTATTTTCCTACCAGTGTTGTTGGTTTTTATCTTTATTTTTATTACTGAACTAATGGTAAGCACTTTGGTTCAGTAGTCACTGTTGTAAAATGCTGCATTAATAAAATTTAATTGATTGATTGAATAACTAGCTAACCTCGAAAATGTCCTGATGCATCTCAGTAATCCAGGTAAAAATATCAAAAAGAAAAAAAATTGTATAGGTCTTCTGGACGGGTTCTTCTCTAATGAA